TATATATATATATATATATATAATATGTGAAAGTCTCGATTGTCAAAGTTCGACTATTGATTTACAGTCAAAGTTCCTTCGGTAATTCCTGCTAAAAAGTTTCACTCTCTGGGTTACATTTGATACTGTCATCATATAATTCATAATATAAGTTTTTCAAAATAAGCGATGAAATTAATGCCTATTTTAAATAGGCACTGAACTGCACTGGTCACTTATGTGTATTCATCTTCGATGCGCTGTTTCGAATATATTACGTATTGAAATTAACTTGACATTAGAATAGAACATTTATCAATTATGACAACCGGTTTACCTACAATTTCAATTGCTCTTTTTCCTGTTTCTTTCTTTTATACGCTTTTTTCAGATTAAAATCTTATCAGTTACCTATCTCCTCGTCAAAGTTCTTTCTTTTAATCACAAAAGTAAGCATGTTCAACTCGACAGTATATCACTTCTTTCTTATAATGATAAATGCGAATGAATTCGCTCGAAAAAACGACGCTCAACGCGCTTATTGACTTTTATTCAACGCTTATCTGCACAAGCTGACATGTTAATTCTCTTCTAATGATAATAAGAGAAATTCCAATAGGCCGTACTATCGTTTCGACATAAATATTTACCATTCATAATATATCTGTTTCTTCAGATCAACATCTTTTTCATCAGTCCATTGTCTTTTATAACATCTTTTTAAAATGAATCCTTTGATACTGAAAGTCAACTAAACGAATCCTTACTGATAGCGTAAACGCAAAAAATATTAATTCATTTGATGGAACGAATCAAAACACACGTTTAATTCACTCATACATCGTTGAACCATTCCATAATATTAGCGTTCGTATTGGTAGACAACATTAATTGAGCTGAAGCGGTTGTAAAATTGCAATAATGCGTAATGTAAAAGTCCAATTATGAAATAATATATCGTGACCGTACGAGCTGTATATTACCTGTTAGAAAATATATGTCGGTGTTTTTAATTTTAAATATTGTTTTATTCTAGAAAGTATTCAAAAATTTCAGTTAATTAAACCATTCATTGAGGCAAAAGAATGACAGCTGATAAAATGACACCTATTCACTACACGGAACGGTGGCGGCAAAACTATCGTATTAAAGATCAACTGCTGAGAAATTTGTTGGCCGAATTTTATGCGACTGCAATCCTCAGGGTAATGGCGAGTCTAGCTTCTTTTTCGACTCGAAAGTGATTATTATCATTCATTAGTGATTTTTCATCGAAACAAATCGCCAACGCAACGTTTCAGTTTATTGGAACGGGTGTATTAGCTCAATTGATCCTTAGTCGAGGTACAGCCAACGCTCCTGTACAAGTGAATCTTGGATGGGGATTCGCTATTTGTTTATCAGTCTATTCTGCATGGAAAACTTCAGGTTAAACTTATCGATTTTCTGTTTTGTTCAAAAACTGCGAAGCACTAGATTTTCATATAAATAAAATATAAAGCATTTCTAAACTTTTGTCAACGATAGCGCACTACAAAAAAAGTGACCTCGAAACACCAGTGCTTCCGTCCAATTCGATGCTTTCACTCATGTCATTGAGCCTCTACTATTCGCTAAATTGAGCGTAACCGACAGCTAGCGGAATCATATCATTTGAATCACACGTAGATAATTGATTCTATTTGAATTTCGTTGTCCTCCATTCGAAGACTAATTGTAAGATTGTCTTACGATTGAACATAACAAATTACAGGTGGTCATGTGAATCCAGCAGTGACAATTGTTCTGTATATTCTTGGAAAAATCTCACTCGTTCATTCATTATTGTTTGTGGTTGCTCAGACGTTCGGTGCCGCATTTGGAGCTGGATTATCATACATAGTATACTATGGTAATGTGAAATTTTATCGAGGATCATGCATAAATTTTTTATGCGAAAGAATAAATGAGATTTTCGTTTATCTCGTTAATAATTCACAAGATAACTGAAGAATGCAAAAAGCATTCGCCTCATAGCAGCATTTCAAATGAACAGTCGTCATCCTAAATGAACATGCGATGTTGAATGGATGCAAAACGAATCGCTCGTTCATGTGTTCTGTTCCAATCGATAATTCATTTCCAGAGGCTATCAATAATTTCGATGGTGGAATTCGCGCTTTAGATGGTGTCAATGGAACCGGCTTCATTTTCGCCTCATTTCCAGCTCCCTATCTCTCAAACACAGGCGCATTTATCGATCAGGTTTGAAATTTTGAAAAATTCGACTATATTTACTTTGCACTTGAACAATGCGCAGTACTATTAAGCGCATAAGTATTATACAGCTGTACGAGAATAACTGCATAATAATGGATTTGTTTCTTGTGAATATTGATGTTCAAATGATGAGAGATGCATCTGTAAAAAACGATATTCATGACAAATTTTAGTTTTATGAACAGTCGACGAATAACCATCAACTGCTCCATCACGATAAAGATGCTCATTTTGCATTGCAGATGGCTGGTACGGGTCTGCTAGGCTTATTCGTCGCTTTTTTCTGTGAGCAAAGGAATCAGATTCCAGTCTATCTACAACCTGCAATGTTCGGCGTTGTCGCGACAATGATCGGTACTTGCTACAGTATGAATATGGGATCACCAATCAATCCTGCCAGTGATTTTGGTCCACGTGTATTTGCAGCAATGACTGGCTATGGTGTTGAAATGTTCACGTTAGTTATTTGCATCAATTCAGATTGCACATGAACGTTGCAACAGTCACAACAATACCGCCTGCCCTTCAGAGTAGCATAATTATAATCGATTTACTCTACAATTGGTTTTCTTCTCCTTAATTTAATCCTTACACAGGATCAGTGTTTCTTTAAGATGTTTGGTCTTGGACCATTCTTCCGTTTAAGCCTTATATCTGTCTTTCCATCTTTCTCAAGACTCTCCCCTCTGATCGCATCCCTCGGTTTTGATTTCATTGTTCGTGCTGCTGGTTATCCGAGGTATTTGAATTCAGAAACTCGATGAATTCTCACTGCATCTAGTGTGACTTGTCGTTCTTGCTCCCTCTAGTTCACCATGTATTCCGTTTTTATGTGGCGCCTCTTTTCACCCTTTCTCTTGCAGCAATAAGGTATCAGAAGAATCGGCAGTTTTCTCCAGTAGTTCAGACAACTTGGCTTGAATTAAACCAACCGAGACCGACTGATACTAGGAGAAAGCTGTGTTAGAGTTGTGATCTTAAAACAGTTGATAAAGTGGTATTATATCTGGAAAGAAGGTTTATGATTGATTCGACATTTTCATTTCTATTCCCCATTGGTAATGTACCATCAATAAACATCGATCGAGAAACACTCAGAAAAAAACGATGAATTTGCTTCAGATATCACGATTACTTCTTCTGGGTACCAGTAGTAGCCCCACTGGTTGGTGCTGTGGTGGGTGCTTATTCATATGTATTCTTTATCGGTTTGCACGTGCCTGACCCTGCCGATACAGAACCGACAAAACAGTATCTTGATGGGAACGTGTATTTGAAGAAACTGGATGTGGATGATATTCCTTTGAAGCAGTTCGTTTTCAGTTTACTTTGATCATTTTTTCAGTATTCTCATGGAATGCATTCATCTGTTGGCAAAGGTATTTCTATGAATGGAATTCATTCGTAAAATTTCATCAGCGATTTCATTCAATATGATAGGAGATTTTTGCATTAAAAAAAACTCCAAATGAATACCATTCATTCCAAACAAACAAAAATATAGATCAGATAAAGATAACCGATGTGGTTGTTCATATTTGAGCGATAGACAGACGAAGCGTGACAATACGATAACGCAATCGTTTGAAATTATCAGCATATGAGATCTAGCATATACGTTTCGTTAGTCACATTAATGCATATTTATTCACGTAAAACTTCGATGATTGTTTTGTGTCAAAATAAGTTCAAGCATTTGAATCGCATGAGTAGTGAAGGCTCAAGTTAATCGTATTTATAAACGTCTGTGTTTCAGGAATGAAGTTTGACTGCTGTGAAAAGTATCGCTGAATTCGACAATGGTTTGCGTGAGAAGAAATTGTTTCAATTGATACAATAAAACTTGAGTATATTTCCGTATCGATCATTTCGATGATTATTCATTTGAGTGAAATTTCATCATTACTCCCATGAAGACGATGTTCAAAATCTCGAGACGAACCATCAATATGAACGATATCATGAATTATTGAACTCCTTCAAAGCATTCAACAATCGGCACTTCACAATCACGCTTGGCATAAGTCTCATTAACTCTACCGCTCACATCAAATATTTAGCATTGAGTTGTGTTTGTGAGAAGATTCGACGATGAAAATCAAGCATCAACTGATTTAGACAAAGTACGAAATGACACCTGATTGTCTATCAAGCATGCACAACTTCTCATATGGAAATATACCCCTATAATGCGTTCCACACAAAAACCGGCAAACGTAAAATTCATCTATTTGCCATCGGCTCCCTTGTACGCTATAGCGCTAACAACCTGAAGATACGCTATAGCGCGCAGACGCAATCAACTGCTGTTACTCTTATAAATTGAATGCATTAAGACAAAAAAATAAAATTTATCATATTGTGCGACAATCAGAATTTATAATATTATTTGTTAGCAACATCTTTATGGTATAACTTTCATACAGCAACCGGAATCATTCTGATAACAAGCGAATAATGAAATCACGAACAGAGTAAATAATGACTGAGAAAAACGAACAACGCGCGTAAAGAGGCACTGCGACCAACGGTAACCAATGATGTACATTAAATAGATAGTAGTGATAGTCCGTTGATATAATAATATCCTAATAAATCTTAGATTAGGAGATGAATTCCCTATTCAACTATAAGAAAACAATGCNCCCCCCCCCCCCCCCACCCCAAAAAAACGATAATAGTAAAGAAATAAAATAGAGTTGGTGGCATCTGTAAAAAAGCTGTACGCATCAAATAACAGTGAAACAGTTCAAGACTGATCGGCTGACTTATTGAATGTTTTTTTAGTAAGTTTACCTTATGCAATAAATATCCCTTTGAGAAAGTGAGCTTGCCACAACGATTAACTGCTCAAATTTGGTTCCAAATCAGTCATAAAATCACTCTGACTAGTCCATCATCATGGTCACTAAGAGCTAGGAAATCCACTACCAGTAGATTAAAACATCAGAAACGATAATGGATGCTATCGAACAAATATTCAAATCGTGCTGATTAAAAACTGATTGGATTGTTTTAGAAAAATACTAAATCAACGTATTATTGCATAGAAACGCATGCAGAGTTATAATGAGAAATAAAAATTCAGCTGAGCACATAGTCATCGTTTATTTGAACAAAAAGACGTGCACTGGCGTTTCTTAGTCCAATGTTATGTTATGCGATCTTCTTGAAGACTGCATAACGTGAATTTCATTGCGAACGATTTGAAACAATTTTTGTTGTTTACGTCGATGAATGGTGCATATGGTACAAAATTGTTAGACAATAGCAATGAAACAATATGCGAAAAACAAAATGATGAAACCCGCCGAAACTTCATAAACGGGATGTGCTGCGAATTGCAGAGATCAGTGAAAACGCTAATGAAGCGACTGTACGCAAAACTAAATGGAACGACGTCTCGATGCGATTGATGAAGAATTTTTTGTTTTTGATTGCAGTAGTTTCATTCCATCGAGAAGAAGCGCAGAATACGAACGCATCAAAGCTTGATCACTTTCACACTCTCCGATTCCTACATAAATTATATTAATCACATTTGTTGCTTGATCGAAAAGTTTTTGAATAATTATTAGGACGACTCATCACTGACATCTACTGAATGAATGCAAATGTTTTGGATCTGCTCAAAAATTGCGCGAAAGGTCTCGAATAATCATTACAACATAAGCAATACAATCATTTTTAGGTCTTAAAAATAACACTCCAGATTCCCACTCTGCTCTTCTGTTCACTCATTTAGAAGTGAAAAACGACATTCAGTTTGAGCCAAAATGGCTGCGATAAACCCCTTTTGACTGATAATAACTTTCGGCAAAACAACCATTTTTATTTCGCTCATTCAATGAAGTATTTCGTTTTGGACTTTGTAAACACATCATTAGCTGAGTGGCTGAAAATTTTTTTTGAATCTTTATGGGCGGAAAATTAACCCACCATTGTTCCACCTGTTGAAAGAGTTTACCGACTTTGATATAGAATCGCGTTTTAGAGAATCCTGCTCTTCGAAAACAACACGTTTCGCCACGGATGTTACTTGCGACGCCTCCAAAAACTGACCATGCTCAGAAACCGCATCGTTGTTCACTGGCTGTGTCGGCACGTTTTCGCTGGCATTTTCGTGCGATTGATCAACTGACAGGCAATCATCGTTTGTGTGCGGTTTTGCTGCATTTGGAGAATCATCTTTTTTAGACAAGACTGTAGTTGAGGGTTGCTCTGGTGTGCTGCTCACGGCCGCTGTTCGATCACAGACTGCGTCCACATTCGATTGTGCCTTTTCTCGTTCTGCGTTAAATGCACTCAACAAACTGTCTATTGTTGATTGTAAAATTTCTGCAAAATCGAATAATTTCAAAAAAAAACAACATGAAATAAATAAATATCTAAGACGAAGAGAGTTCAGTAAAAAAAAAAGAAATTTCGAACCAATACAACTGAAAGAAAGGAATTCTTATAATTACACTTTAATCTTAATACCAAAAAATATAAAATTATAGTTTCATGCTAGAAATTCGGAACTGAAGTTAGTATGATGGAAATTTTGGTGAAAAATTGCAAAAGCTCGAACGACACAAAAAAATGTAGTTGAGGGTTGCGCTCTTGTAGCATATTTGAGGCAACATGAAGTGTACTTGTGACGTGAACTAGATAAACGAAACTGACGAGAAAAACGTACGTTTCTGATCGAAATAATCAGTCCATGTAGCGCATGAATCATTGAGACATTTCTCGAGAGCAATTATAAGCGTTTTGATATGCGTTACATGATCGTTGTATCGACCATTCAACGGTATTTCCATCCATGTATGACGCATTGACTCAACAAAACCACTTTCTGACATCAGCATCAGATAGTCGTTTTGTGACTTCAATTTGACATTCATACAATTTGAAAGTGTTGTTGACTGTTGCAGCTGATCTGCTGCCTTAAATATGACGGTGACGGTTAACGTGCGTATGAAATCAACTAAACAACCTCAAATAAAGTCAGTCGCGAAGGTGACACCGACTGAATCGAACTCATGAATTGATGCAGTGAATCACTGATGAATAACCATCGATTTAATGAAGCAGTTATAAAGAAAGTTATTCAAGATATTCTCAACTGCACACAGAACGTACTTAACTTGAGCGTATAAAATGGTGATATGAAATGATCTAATCTAATCAACAAAGAATTATTACGCAGCAAACTAACTGAATGTTGCTTTGAAGTGTTCAATGTCGAGAGTGAAATTTGTTGACGCGTTTCTTGGATGTCCATTCTCTCCGCATTACTATTTCCCAACCCAACGCCAGTTTTTTCAACAATAACTGCTGATTTATCGATCTCAAGCTTTTTATCACGTGATAACATTTCATCACTGATCTCTTTTACAGCTTTCGTTTGCGATTTACGAATTTTCGACCGCTACAATTTTACGCATTGAATAAGGCCAAATCGCTTTGTGCAAATGCTTGCTATTCCTCACTCATACCGTGCAAAATGTTCACTCATTTGGATGAACTTTGCTACGAGTGCAACATATTTGCAAAGCTTACGTTGTAAAAATAACCAGAAGCAATTCGAAGAGACGGCAACACAAAAAAACTTCGCAAGAAACACATAGTAATAACAATAATAATTTTGTTGCTCACACATAACAGTCATACGAAGAAACTTTTCAAACACCTACCGATTGCGAAACTTTTGTTGCTAATGAATGCCGTTTGTGCTGTAATGAAACAGATGAAGACTGTGCAGCTGACGTCTCAGCACTTTCCTCTGGTCGTATGTCTGCTGAATCGACAGCATTCGAAATGATTAACGATGATGTCTTTTTCGCCTTTTTCGTTGGCTTTTCAGTGACGATAATCGCATTCGATAAATTGCTCTCTGTATCAGATGTTACATGAACGACACTAGGTGAACTCTTCTGAAAATATGACAGTATCACTCTGATCACGTACTACCCTCAAAAGTTTAATCTTATTCAAATCAGTGCTACCTAATATTCTGTTACAATTTCAACTTTTACTATCAAGTCGTATATTAATCGTACACTAACAATAATAGGCATAATCTTGAACATCAGTTTAGAATGCTTAGCTGAACAAAAAAAACAATAATGCATTTTAAAGCATGCGATAACTTCCGATAACGCTTTCCATGATAACAACACTACTGAACACTTTGCTTGACAAGCAGAGAAATTGAATTCTACGCACAAGTTGTTTACCTTGTTGGATGCAAGCCACCTTCGATATGCACGTTCGCTAACCTTTCGTTGAGTACCATCGTTCAATTGAAACACATATGAGCTCACTTTACGTGTAGTACCTTTGCCGCTATATACATTTTCGCGGATACATTTCACATCCTTTATTTCATTGTTCAGCAATCTAAAAATTTTATACTCGATTGGGTCAAATTTTGAAAAATCGACATTTTCGATGAAACTTTACCAGAACCATAATGCACACATTGTTCTCAAAAACATAATGTGGGCATGACAAAAGCAAAAATTGGAAAATGTCGACGCACGTTATGTAATCATCATCATTATCCTTGCGAACAACTTCGTCAGTTTTATCCGACGATGACTCATCATCTGGAATTAAAATTATTTTCTCCATCGCATCTTTCCTGAAAAGGAAATTTATTATCAAATCGCCTAAGCATAGACACTGTAAAGATATATGAACTGTGAAAATAAATTTATGCACGTTCAATAAGATGGTTCTTTTCATCGACGAATCAGTAACAGCTGATACAACAACTGACTTGGGTGTTTTTTGGATACCAGGCGACGGACTCTTTGGTTCTGATTTGATTTCTATCGATTTTCCGGATCGATTGATTTGTGATGAATGCGACGTCTCCTTCCGACTTCGCGCCAACCATTCGTTTTCCAACAGTTCATCATCAAGACGATATCTAGAATAGTTGAGAATAACAAACAAATCGCAATTACAACCACTTACAAATGAAATGCATTTCGGCACACCATCCCGTTCAACTAAACACTGAAACGTAACAAAAACAGCCTGATAAAATGGAACCTCGCAGGAAGCTGAATGTGCCTTTTGGGTCGTTCATTTCGCATAGCCACATGCTCGGTTTTGACCGGTGAAACGATCTCAGTTTTGATTATTGACGCACTTTTCTTGGAGCGTTTAGGTGGCGCACTCCTGGATGTTCGGCAAGATTTTGTTGATTTCGAATGACTCGATTTTTCGCGCCGACTTGACGTTTGGTTGGTTCCTGTGAATAATTTCAATAATCAACTAAAAACTGAACGGAATACTAGTTAGTGAACAGCATTTATTGCAGCACTGTAACGCGTGTATAAAACATGATTCAATTCGAGTTAAACGCAAGCACCAACCTATAACGCCTCTAATTTCCAGCTAAACAATATCGATAATGCAAGGCTCGAAAGCGCAAAATTTTCACATGGGAATGTCACAGAATACCAACGTTCTAGTATGATGGTTTCATTTTACCAAATATCACCGTAATGAGAGGAGTTCCTTCCACATTCCGTTTGCATTTCATAAACGCTGATTTAAAAAAAAATAGACTAATGAATAATGGATGACTCAACGCACCGTACTCGACTGTTTCGTTTGTTTGAGGCCTCTTCAAGTCGTTATCTTCCGAACGCATTTCATTGAACAAATTTTCCAATTTCAGCACACACTCGTCGATTTTTCCTGCTCGATCAATAATGAAAGTGTACAACGACAGATAATGACAACTAAACACTGAGCACACGAACACCAACAAGTGTTATATACCAAAAGAGGATCGAATGAGAAGTGGTGATACTAGAACGAAGCAATGAAATTAATTGCATCTATCATCCAAAACTGTGCCTTTAAAACAGACTTATGCGATCGATCAATTTTGGAATAATTGTGTGCTATGACAGAAGTGACCGTTGGATGAGCAAGATCGTTACGAAAATTCATTCATTGTTTCGCTTCGAATTTAAGTGACTCACTCTTGCATGCTGAACGATGTGCATTCGCGACTGCTTTTGGAAGAAGCTTTTTCAAGAGAGCACGATAATCTTTACAGTGTTGCTTTAATTCATCGATTACTGGCAGCACTCGATCGGACTTGCACTCTAGAAGATAGTGCTTAATTAGAACGTTTCTTAATTTTGCAATCATACGTTCACTATCAACAACGTTCACTTCGAAAATTCGTACATTTTCAGTAATCATTCTTACAAAGATTTAGTCACATATAAAACTGATTGCAGTTGTGGAATAGTGAATTCTGCAAAAGTCAAATATTCGATGATCATTTTTTAAAAACTGACTGCAAAGCGTCACGGTACTCGATCAGTGCAAGAATTACAAGAAACAAACAAAATGATTACCTGGAAGGAGAGTGTAAGAGTTCAGCCATCCACTTTCAACAGCAATGATATCTTCTAAGCTGAACTGATCTCCTTGAGATGATGATACAGCGCTCTCTTCAACGAAAGCCATGTCATATTCCATAAAAATTAACACAAAACCCATACAAATGGATTGCATCTCAATTGATATCGAACAGCCATACACTTTATTGTTAAAACGTTTATAAACTGGTTCAACGAAAAGCATACAGCCTCTAAAATGGTGACAATTTGCACTGACTAGCTGCGAGAATCAGCATGAAGATGCGTATTGACTGGCCTATCATTAGAAATCATTTCAGTTTTAGACAAAAACTAAAACATGTAATTACAACGTTCTCAGTGGCAGTTCCAAAAAGATTACCATGAAACATATTGTATAATATAGGCAAACAACTAAATGAAGGATGCGTAAGCTTGCTGAACTTACCCATTGAAGCAGGCATGGGTTTGACATCTTCATCCGAGGAAGGCATCGGCTCATTCGACAAATCAGTTGCAGAGAAATTCGCGAATGGAGTTGAACATGTTATGATACTTTGGATGAGGGTTTTATGACTTTCAAGTATGTGACTTGAAAGATCCCAGTGTTTGCATAGATGCCCCAAACCGCATTCGAGAATTCTTTCTTTCAGCTTTTGACCTCTCGTAAACAATGTCTCTAAAAAATCAAAACATCCAATACGAATATTCTTACATAGAAAACCAGAAATAAAGTGCTATTTCAAAATGTTAGCATCAAATAAGAATGAACGCTATGAACGCCCAACATGTGCATCAATCTGTTCAATTTATGATAACGAAAAGCGGAAATTCGTTCAACATAGCGGTAATGCTTAGCGATATCGATCACCCACCACAACGTTGACAATCAAGAGGTATTCCAGGATGTGATTGTGCTTCACAAAATTTGTTCAACTCAGTACAATATTTTTCGATTGCATCCACAAGCTTAGTGGCTGAAGGACCTTCGATAATTTTTGGCAACATCTCGGACCATTGACGAGCCACCATCACAACCAATAATAGCATCCTATAGAAACCATGTTAAAATTTAAAAACAATACGAACTTGTGAAATAATGGAAACAGTCAAAATGGTGCATGATTTTCACTCAGTAAGCGGAAGGACACAAGATATACACTCAGAATGGGATACGAAGGAATTCTTTCAGTGCTTTTATGACACTGAAAGAGTGAAAATGGATACTTCATGACCCACGAACAGTGAAAGTGTTCACCTCTAAGTTTAGACAGGAAATAAATTTCGCCTACAGTTGAAAACTGCAGAACATGTTCGACAGGGAAAACATTCTCATTATTTACAACTTGGAAGATTGTTTTTACTAGTGGTATGAAGAACAGATTAATTTCTAGATTAATAGAAACAATTACCTGCTCTTATTACCGAATGCTGTGGCAATATCATTTGCTTGTTTGTCACTTTCATCTTGCACTGCTAGATGTCGATCGCCGTCACAAGAAAGAACGTTATCTGAGAATTAAACAGTTTAAAACTATCAAATTGCTTGAATAAATACTTCAAATTAGAATGTTGCAATGAAGAACGAGAATATAAAAACACAAGAAAAGATTTATAAAGCAAAGCCCATATGTTCAACAATGAATCGAAAAATCTGCTCTGAAACTGTATCGGTATACAAGTGACCAACCGACTGCTTCTGGGGATTCAACGAGCGAAGCACCAAGTTCGTTGATCGAAGCACCGTCATCACCAGTCATCGATTCAACAATTGATGCCTTCCGTGAAATGAACTGCTCAAAACGACGCATCTCTTCTGCAATCATTCCAAGTTTCCAATCACAGATCATCACTCCTTTAGATTATGAGAACAACGAATGGGAAAGAAAGCATTTCAAATCATACACTCAGGCGACCAACCGGCTATCTCGCCAGCCGGCATACAGAGTGTTTTTCAATGACTGTAACTCCCATCACATCTAAAGAACGCTTCGATTGTCGGAGGTCGTTCCATTAGACTATTCAAAAAAAAAACATTTTTTACACCACACTATCCGTTACTTGTTTTACTTTTGCATCAAGCCCAATAATGACCAACTAATAAGTTAATACTAACAAACCAGTGACAAGAAGGCCAGATTCAGAAAGATAGCTGTCTGTACAAGCATACGAATACTATTCTACGACAATCTTGAATCACGTTCACCTTTTCTGGCACGCCATAACATTTCAGGAGGAATGACAGAATCACTAGTTCCAGTCCATGAATTCGACCAGAGCCACTTCAATTGTCGAACCAAATGTCTGATTCGTCCTCGATCTTTCGCATCCACAACTTTTCCACTGAAAATTTATAATCATTTACCACACTTGATGAGCCAATCGAAAACAACGTTTCCTGCTTAGAAAATGCACCCAAAAGTGTGCATAAATTTGAAATTTTTTGTTAAGCGTTCATTAATGGTCAGCAAAATTTAATCGATCTCCACACAAATCTACCTCAAAAAACCGATGCAATAGTCACTTTCAAAAGTTCGATTCACAACTGAAAAATGCCTAAAAAGCAAGCAAACAACAACGAAAGATCACCAATTTAGAACTTCATTCCAGTAGTTTAGCTTTCTTTCATAATTCTCCTTTTCCCTCTCCCATCGTGACGGCTGCAGATATTGAATGCTGAATCGAATGCCAGCTAAAGCCTTAAAATTACCATCTTCTATACAAAACAGCATGGAAATTGAAATGTTGCTATGTGCCGTTGTGAACCAACGCACTAAACACTGATTATTTGTGAAAGTGAAAACATCACAAACCGTGAAAATTTTGAAATCTATGCGATAAAAGTGAATATAAGGAATGGATGGAAGACATGAAAAGTCAGTCGATCTACTCTCTCCATGTGAAAACCGTCATTCCATTTCCACCCGAAATGTGACACAGATGAACGGACAGGACGAAAATTTAAAAAAGTAAAAAAAAAAACGAGGTAAAAGGTAAAACGCATGCAGCATGAAAGGTTTTACTGTTAAGAGCTCGTGAATAATGCGGCTCATTAAATTTTTAGAATCTCATGTTTTCGGTTTGTGATGGTTTTGTTTCCAAAACCGATATGATTTACTATGAATTGTAACGTTTCTGAATACTTGATTCGTGAATGCTTCATCATGACAAATAGAAAAAATCACCGAAATGTTCGGCTGCAAGTAGTAACGAATGAAGCCGAAAAACAAAACGCATAGAGATGATTAGAAGTGAGATTGAGAGATAAATATACGCATCCCAGGTGTGTTCTTTTGGCAAGCCACTCATCACTCTTCAACTATCCGACGAGGTAATTTAACAAAGTCGCAGAGCAAAACCGTTAAAAAAGAGAGGCTTTGCAAACAAGACCATCGAAGTTGCTGATTACATTTACATTTTCTAGTTTGTTTGAAGCAAGCGATGCGCAACTGCATGAATGAATGCAGTGCCCAACTGTTCAAAACATGAAGCAGCAGTTTCACTGCTCAAAACGACCGAATCTCCACTGAATCGAAGCATTACAACATTGTCCTTATACCTTGTAATGAGCTGTTTTCGGGAAATATTCTGCAATATTTGGTGGATCAATCCAGTTTTCGGTGGATGCAGACGGTAACGGAGGACAGATCGAGTTACCATCTTTCTCATAATCGCATTCTGTTTTCACCTGGAAAAACACTTGCCGTAGGAACATTTGCGATTGTCCATATCAACAGCAAATCTATTAGTTTGAAAATTCATGAAAGAAACAACGAAATATACTGTTGCGACAAACCGAAATCTTGCGTCGCATTTCACTCAGCTCAAACGACGACCGACTACTGTTTTCATCTTCATCTTGTACGCTAACATTCGAATGATATTTATCATTATCGTCATCAGCAACCAAATGCTCGTCTGGTTCAATGAATGCTTGCGGTGCTTCATATTCTGGATAACGCTCTTCGGTGACCGCATCCATGAAATCCTGATGCGTTTTCGGATCATCTTGGACCATTTCCCACTCGGCCCACGATGGATTATGTGCTGATGTTGCCTCATCTGCAACTGTCGATTTCCATTAAGAATTCAGACATTCGAAATAGAGTGAAAGAAGCGACTTTTTTAGTTGCGCTCATTTCCTTGTTCACGCGGCCGTTAATCGCCATAGAAAGCAATATTATTATACAAAATGTTTGTTGCACTACACTATACTTGATGAAGTTGAAGAGGTATTTAGATGGAAACCAGATGAATCAAACGGGCCGGTAAGCACTTGGTGGATTAATGTGAATTCGTTAAGTGGAATGTCTGTTTAGTGAAATTCAGCAAGATGTTGATCTATTCTATTCTCGTGATGATCTATTCTAGTCTTCAGCTGATGAGCAATAGAACGCTTGCACAAGAAAAATCACCAACCAGGTGAATGCTGATTGGATTGTTGTGGCTGTGTTTCGGCAGTGCCTGCAACAAACCATGCATGTTCAGCATCCTCGTTTTGCTCAACAATACAAACTTCATCGGTTGTCACATGTTGCTGACTGAGATCCTCGTAAACCGGCGCAACTTCCATCTCACCACCGTCCGTGTCCATTTTTTTTGTTTGCAAATTGATAACTGAATCCTGAACGATTAACTAGAAAGAATGAAACGCATCACGATTATCACAACCATACACGTTACTATCTGGCATCGCACGAAGACCACTTCGAAACAAACTGCTAGGCGAATGAGATGAAGCATTCAGAAAGATCACAATAAAACTTCATAGGAAATAAAAGTGAATTCAGAGGCAAAACACTCGCTCAGTTGTATGAATTGTTGGTGTGGCGATTGGTGCAGATTGTGAACGAGTTATTCGGTGTTTCCTTCCAATTCGAAACAACTTCATAGCAAAACGCTAGATGAGTTCAACTTATCCTAGGACTAATCCCACCGTTCAGTATTCAATTAAAGAAACAAGTTAAACTTCAAAAAAAGCACATGCTAATGAAACAGTTTCAACACAGTTGGCCACCCAATGAGCGCTTACATGTCTATTAGATATGTGCATATACTTGAATAAATTTGTATATACACATGTATTAGTTCAATAGTAGTATTTTTATCTATACGAAACACTCACTCACAACGATGAAAGCGCGTGCGTGTTTTAGGACAACAATACAGCAAGAGCATCAGCATCGCAACTCAGCTGGCCGTGTTCTTTTTGTCGAAAATTCATGTAACGAAGAAAAGATGAGACTCACGCTTTCGAACATCGTGTCTCTTACGGAAATGCATCAAGCCAGTAGTTTAAAATTCTTGTCGCTATGACGCATTCGTTCGGAATTGTTTCAAAACTCAGCTAGTTTTGAACTCATAATAACGTTCACAGTTAGCATGGTGAGAAAGATCCAAATGGTTGGTGTGTTTTGTAATCGTTGGTCAATTGATGAGGAAACACTGCTGTGACATTCAACAACATCAGGTAGTTTGTTTGGCTATTGAGCGATAATCCTTTGCCAGTTATCGCGCTTTACCGCGCGATTTCGCTGCTACATTTGATTGCATTTGAACTGGAATATGCGATTGATTTTAGAAATGAAACGAGAGAATTTTTGTTGAAGTAATTGCCTGTAAAAATGAATTTCTTGCAGTGTTTAAGGTTACGAGAGGAATTCTTAATAATTTATGTCAGCGATGAGGTGTGTGAAACGGGCTCGTAAGCAGAACTTGAAATTTGATGGGAGAGGCTATTTTGAGTTGTTTTTTTTGATCGGGGAAGTGCTGTTCAATTTTGGAGAGGTCATTGTACTATACAAAGAAAACGCTCACATCCTGATCGACTTGTTGGACTCGTCTTATTCGAATTCCAATGATGAATGCTGATATGGAATATTGTACGCACTACTTTAAGAAATCGAATTTCGAAAAAATCTGGAGGGGCTAAGCCCTACTGGCTACGGATCCAGTACGAGGTTCGAAAATTGGGAATATATTTTCAAGTTATTTAGACAAACCCACAACTATTGTAACGAAAACCACAATATTTCACGTTACAGTAACGGAATGTGTCTAAGCAAATTAAATAAACAGACACAGAAGTTAAGCTTATTTGATTGCTTAGCCGAAGTTCTCTGAGTTACAATTTCTAAAATCGACTCCTGTCAATTTTGATTCAACATAACGTTTTTTTATGAAGACGTTCGTTGAGTGTCATGTTGTTCTCGTTCAATGAAAGTGATAAATAGCTCGTACTCGGAATGCTTGCACATGTGATGTGAGTGATGAATAAAAGAATTTATTGTCAAGTTAACGCCTGATGCTCGTTTCTGTATGCGTATGTATATGTATGTGTTTGCTAGGGATCATGCATACCATTCTTAGTCGATCGGTTAAGATCGTCTGTTAACGATGATTTCGTTTGTACCGAAATGAGGATATCACTTGTGCATTGCAAGCGTTCTCTTTCGAATCAAGTTTCGGTAGTGGTCTTCATAAACAATGCAACAGAGAAGATATTATAAATGCGAAACAACAACTTTATGCTGGCATATTACGTACATGAATCAACGCACACTGTTGCGAATAATTCAACGTTGCAGCGAATTAGTTAATCGAAATCGTCAATTTCAGCGTCATTGAGAACGAATTCATTTCCATCATTTGACAACAGCACAGTTCCATTCGTATTCTAATAAATTCGATTACTCATCAACAAAATAACCCATATAACCTTGCAACATCGTTTGCATTCTGAATCGATATCAAAAAAATCAATTTACAAATTCTGAAAGCGTTATAAGGATGTTGTCGCTTTTCAAAATCCTTTGAGGTTGACTTAAATGAGAATAATAAAATTCAAACTTGTGAAAGTATCACTAAAATTCGAAAATTGAACCTAGTCTTCGAAGAAACAATGGATATAGACTCCAAAAACGATGATTTTGTTTATATCTATGAGTAATGAATTGAATATCGGAAAAAAGTACGATAAGAAATGCTACACAGATTTTTTATTCCTATAATTTCACTGCTTGTAAACACTGTTTGTTCATACCGCAACGGTTATTGTTGCGTAACTTGTATTGGAGGAACTTTATCAAAATAGCGCAAACATCTTAAATGGATGTGTTCCACTATTCACACAAATGAGTGAATGCTATGGAATTCGAGAGAATGATGATTGCAGAGGATGCACCGAAATTTTTATCATTTCGAACCGGTTCTTTGGATGGTTCAAGTCGGAACGATATTCTCTTTCCACTCTCCTATCAATGACAACCACTCGGCAATCGTCATCATATCACATTCGTTGAACAGTCCTGTCGTGTGTTTATTTCCATCTATTTGTGCCAATTCCAGTATCTTGTCCTTCATTTCGTATTTCATCGATGAATTATTAATTGATTTTTTCGTTCAACTCATCAGTTACTAAGCATTTGCAATCGCCCTCCAGTAATTTCTCAACATGATCACTGTATAACCAAAACAATCATAATTCAACGCTAAAAAATTGTTGGCAAATTGATGATCAACATTATTCGAGCATTACCTCCACTGAAACTTTTCTATTTCTGTTACCTCATCAACGACTCCGTGACTATTTTTAACTTCAGATCACTGAAGAATGGATGAGATCGAATAGCAATATTTTATGCGGACGAAGTGTGATAACCGTTCTTGAGATTCCCTTTTTTTAAATCATTCAAAAAAGTTTTTCTCCATGCTTTCATGTACAAAAACAGTAGGTCAAGCATGTCGGTATGTTCCACGAGGAAGTTGGTACTATGTGAAGTTCATGTATAGTATTAAATAATTATCGGCTGAACAGTTAAGATGAAATTGTTTTACCAAGAGGGTTATAGTTGATAATCACGTCAAAGCAGCAACCTAACTATAAGTTCATCGGAGAATTCTATGAAAGACGGCGGATGTTTTTCATAAACATACAACAACATGTTATACGTGATGCAGTTATTCGTTTCCAAAGTTGTACTCATAACATTGTTGTGAGATTAGCAAGGCTAGAATATAAGTTGAATCATTTTGGAACTGAATTCAGATGATTTTCAATGAGAGTTTGGGTGATGGATTCATAAGTGCTTTCCGCTAAGACCAATAGCATTTCATGTAGCAGAACAAATGACATACGGAATATATGAATGGCTTTTTCATAACCTTACGCACTAAAAGCATTCGACATCAGTTAAGCAGAATTCGTTTAATGTGTCATATTCATCGCAATTTCTTATGAACAGTTCTTTTCTTCATAAACGATCATTTTCTCTTCATTACTGCTCGGATTGCTTGATAACATACGCAATTTGTTGTGAATGCTAAGAAATTCTTGTAGACGATAGGCAATATGCACACAAATTGCATCATACGAAACTCGTTTCGGGTGTGTGCCATCACGATGAAATTCATTTTTCGTTAACCACTTTCAAGTATTCTTCTTTCATTTCAACAAACTTCACTCCAAAATCGACGTCTCATCAACTCCTTTCTCGGCTGCTTCCTCTCTGTGATCCTTTTCACGGATACGATTTGCCATCCCGTCGATCTTCCCTCACAATTTTGTTTGCTTGTATCCTGAAAGTTCACGTAGCTTCTTTTATGTGACTCGTAATTTTCAAGTTGGATGTCGCCAGTATGACTTTAGCACATCGCATCCAAACAACGTTCAAATCTAATTTTAGTTTTCGCCTTATTTGTTCATTATATGGAAGACGTAATGCATTTTTCATCACTGATAATATTGTACAGAATCGCAGTAAACGTATAACATTTCAAATTAGTCAATACAATTCCAGAATGCTCAAATTATTAACGATTGCTGTTTTTGTCGTGTTCGTCACCTATATTGCGGCCAGATATGAAGAGAGTAGGTTTTTCTTTGAATATTAATTCTTTGTTGTGGTTTCCATACTATTGCACTCAATGAGAGTCAAGCATTTCATGTTGTCAGCGAAACAAATGATTGCAGAAAACTCAGATTACCGATATCAGCTTTGCATTTCTAAGCTTCTTCTGTACCACTGCTAGTTTCAATGAGATGGATTTACTTCAGTTCTCTTTTGCATACCTATTCAGGTTCATCCATACAGAACAAACTCCATGATGACTGTTCTTGTCGGATGTAATTTGCAGTTTTTTGTCCACAACTCGTCTGGTTTGACAAAGCTAACTGTCAATTAATACGCAACATTGCTAAAAGGCAGTTTTTATCAGAAAGCAGGTTTTAAACAAGAGGGACTCTGTTGGGATGTAATTCGTTCGTAGGGGGAAGAGACCTTGATCAAAAAGTCAGAAATTAGAGCTATCGGAAAATGGCTGCACGTCGTCATCTCCTCTCCCCAACAAATTAATATTCGTTGAGTAGCAACTTTTGGCCATGGATGGACTCCGGTCAAACACTTGGGAAACAAAACTTAAGGAATAATTCCGTATTGTAATTCCCACTCTCCAACGAACATTACCGGAAAATTCACTAGGAGTTATTTTTTGAGGGTTTTTGTGAGTGTGAGATCGAATGAAATCAATACTTTGAACGAGAAACGCATAGCTCAGAATCAAATGCTGAACTGAAAGCATTCATACGAAACGCCAAAAAACGAGTTCTTTTGAACACCGAATGAAGCTTAGTCTGAAATGTTCATGATTCAGAAGTCATGTGAAATTCTTTGAATGATTTTGCATTGTCCGGTTATACTGTGCGGGAAACAATAATGATAATAGGCAAAGATGAATTAAATAACAGTGGCAACAACAACGAAAAATAACTTTCCTGTGGAATTAAATCAATTTGGATCCATTTAACTACGATTATCTCAGAAAATTGGAAATTTTTTAAGGGTATGACTTAAGAAAGTTACCGTTCGACTTGAGACCAATCACTGACTATATTGGTCTTTGGGAGCTGCAGTCAAAGATCGGTAATACTCGTGAATTTGCTCCACCTGATCTCATCGATATCGCTATCAATCCACTACCAAAGTTCGGTGCTCGTGCGGCCAATATCACGTGAGTGAATATGTACCATTTGGCTTCACTCTTTCGTTCATTCAGTTGAAACTTCTGTTTTGCAAGCTATTTTCACCTCTTTTGAGACGTGAATAGCAAAAACAGTCGTAAAGTTTGTGATTAATATGATGTGACAAAATTTCCCACCAGTTTGAAATGTCGTCTTCGTCTGTCGAACTTGAGTTACGTATTTTCGAGAGATCTTTCAGAATTTTCCACATTCCGATGAAATGAGTTTAAGAATCAATTGCAACTCTCGAAAAATTGAAAATTTTTGAGAAATGTTATGAGAAGTTCTACAGAATTATGCAACCATTAGTATATTTCATGCCGGTGTAAGAGATTCGAATTTGCATTTTTTGTCTTTTACAGATCCGATGTGGTTTCTGATCATTTAAATTATTGCCCATCGTATTCTTTCATCTTGACCGTTTCCAATCGAATAGAGACTACGGTTCCTATTCAACTGATTCGAGAATTGTAGTTCATTAAAGCGCAATCCATGTGGACTCTTATTTTAGACGCCCAAGAAGATTACATAGTTGCAGCATCTCTATTCGTATGAGTATCTTTAAAAGAACACGTCTTTTAGACATACCTATTTTGATCATGACAAGAATGTGTATCGTTTCGAGTACGGTTTCATGCCGGTCAAGAATGCTACGAAACGCGACCCTCGTATCCATGTTGCTTATTTGACGACGAGCAGTGAAGGTTGGTTCGAGTCTAAACAGCACATTCAAATCGATTCTTCGTCACATTAGCATGGCTTTCTCTTTTACGGTACAAATAATCTTCACTGTTGAGGATTCTCGATGATGGAACAAGGTACAGTGCGGGGCAACAAATTAACTTTTCATTTGAAGCAGTTCCTTCGAAGAACTTTCGATGTTGGCAGTGCTGGTGTTGATTTGGATATTCGTGAGGTAATCCTTCAAACTCTCCTTCACTTGATTCAAAGAGCTATTAATGTTGAAAATTTTCTGCCGAAAACAATCGAGAAAGTTATATTGCAGTTGTTTGGCCACAGTTGTCTCTGGTACATGATAGGCAAAATTCTTCTGTATTGCTGTTAAAGTTTGTCGTGAAAATTTGGAAACATGTTTTAAGGAATTTACAGCTGTTAGTATAATATTAATTTCTTGATGGGAAACATTTCTACGCCTGTATCCTAGAGGAGCAACTCATTCTGGGGATTATGTTCAATACAATTCGTTTTCAGTTTGAACGACAATTTGAGCTACTTGATCCGCATCATATGATAATGAAAGTTCGAGCAGAAACGGCAATTGGCATCGAAGACTTCACGGCAAATTATCGAAAGATTTTACCATGATCTTTTGAATGTATTGTATCCTTTGTGCTTTTTCGCGTTCGGGAAATATACGCACTTCATGATGATCCGTTCAGTCTGAATAAATGCTCCAAAATGTGATCTTATTTCTTAATGCATACACATTGATGTTGATGGAACTCATCGAATTTGTTGTTCAAACTTGAAGATAAATATTGTCAAAAGGAAGCAGGCTTCTCATGTTCCGTGAAATGCAAAACATGAGTTGGTGCTATATAAGTTTATGATTTGGAGGATGCTTAACAATTAAAACAGCTATCACCTTTTGAGGACATAACACAGAAACTGTGTTATGGTTGAGAGACAAAGCCGGGTCATTCAAAAGAAATGTGCTCGAAAAACAATCCTCTCGAAAACATATGATACTGCAAGTTGATTGTATTGGCACTGTTAATTGCGCATTAACAACTCATCATATGAGCTTAAATTGTATATTTATTGTGGGATTATGAATGAGCCTCTCAATAGATTCGAGTTCTCTTCACAATCTCATTGCCAACAAAAACGATTTAGCATTACAAATACATCATCAATTAGGAGTGGGATTAATAATAATATTAATAATTCTTATAATACCATCAATAATAACATGATCTTGTGATCTTGATGCAGCCACTTATTTTCGGTTTATTTGTAAATAAAATTTTATTGGCATAATCTTTTGGCAAGTTGCTTCTTCATTTGCTTTTAATTGAAATCAATCCCAGTTTTTCGCACTACCAAAAGATTCAAACCTTTAATTCTTTCAGTATAGTTTCCCATTTCATCTTGATTGAAGAAAATTCGACTGAAATTCAACATTTTGTTTTTGATTGCATCAAGCGTATCGACCTGCGTACGAGCTGAACAAGTAGTTACAATGTTCTCTCTAAAAACGAGGTTCGTCTCAGATTTCAATAAGAGTAAAATATCGTCTAAGTAAATATATTTGATCCCACTAAATTAGCTCAGCTATTAAATATTGAAAGGATTAGTTTAGAAGAGATAATGGAAATGAAAACATAAGGAGCGAAGTTTAGCAAACTGTGCAACTGGTGATCCATATAAACCAATTAATATTGCCGAACACCATTCAGCTACTCCATAACGGCAAAAAAAAGATCGATCACAATGATGGCGCCTAACAAATTTATGCCGAAACATTGAAATACCGTATCATAGCAAGCACACAAGAAATGTTATGGCGCCATCTGCTAAATAATGAAAGCTGAAAATCAACTAATCCAAAAAAAACTGAATTCATAGAATTTCATAATTAACTGAACTGAAATGATTATAAATAATTTTAACAAGTAACTGAATGAAAAAAAAACTTCAATTCAGATATTTATGCTATTAAAACAAGAACATTTTCATCTGAACCTCTTCCAATTTTCTAGAAAAATGTTTTGAAGCGCAGCATGAGGGAATATTTATATTCATTTATTTATACTTATAGCATACGCTAAACACTATATTTGGTAGCATAATTTTTTGGATGAACGGTTATGAATAGGCAATATATTTGTGATGCGATTAAATGAAACGACTGTTGAAGATAAGAAAACAGATCGTTAAAATGTCTTGCTGAGAGATATTGTATTAATGTCAGTATATTTACTGAAAAATAATGATAATACTCGAGTTGTCAGATGAGTGCACTAATCATAAATTGCCATTATATGATACGAACACAACTCAAACATATCCATCTGATTCAACCAGAAACGACTTCTATCAATTTGTTGCCGCCTGTCACTCATTATATTTATCGACTGCAATTAAAGGATCATCAATGATTTATTATGTGCCTCATCACCAACAACAAAACTTCATTCTTTCTTTCCAATTTTCCTTCAATCCTTTTACGATACTCTTTTTTACGATTCTGATCAGTGATACTGTAATCTCATGCATTATTTACTATATAGTTTTCATCCTCAAACCGGAACCATCTGCGTAACGGATGGATATTTGATTTGAAAATTATTTTTAAGTATCGATGCACTGAATCATGCACGCTGTTATTCGTTCTTATAACAAATTGACGCAATTCAAATTAATGTTGAAGAGTATCCAAACAATCTTGTGACATTCCCTTATCCAATAACATTTCAAATTGAATTCAACTTTCCTCATAAAATGAATTATGTGATGATCAATATGGTATTTGCTGATTGTGATTCGAATTTATAATCGGATTTGACTTAATGCACACGAAGTATTTTGATGATCAAAATAAGCTATCATTTCAACTTTGCTCTTCGAAACATTCTTTGCAATTTCTCAGTTTCCACTACTTTCATACAACGGAGTAAAAGTTTTGTACTGAAAACTAACAATATAACACCGCAGCTAGAACTTCAACATACTTGAACACGAGAAGTTTCAAAATATAGTTGCACTCACTTATTAGTCTAGTTCACGTCGAATGCATCCATCAACGATCAGAAGTCACAACTTCGACGTGCAATATCTTCTCCATTGTTGAATCAGTTGAGTCAAAAGGACACTATCCAAACAAATAGACAATCAACGCGAAACGCATATCGAGAACGCAAATGGAAGAGTTTCAAATCAAATTAACTGAATTTCAGAAATTTCACCTTTAGAAACTTGCGATTCTTTCATACTTGCAAGCATGATGCGTCTTACAAAGCATGATTGATGATAACGCTCCCTCGAATTATTAATGTCACATATTGTAACCACATCGGTACTGTATTACACAAAAACATTCGGGTCGTTTTTCAGAGTTATTGGTGTTACAATGAAGAATCGTTATACGAGGTGATAGATTATGCGATATGCGCATTATGGAGTTTAGTTGTTATGCGTTCGTTATTGCCTAATAGAAAGATAAAGAAGATTCGGAATTGTCGAATGGAATAATAATATTATTACTATTTATAGAGCTCGATTTATGATATATCCAAGTCAAGGTTGAGTGATGATGATATATGCACGATCAGTAGCGATTCACACCTGAACACAATAATCTAATCGCATCAAATAGTCTCCATAAACTTGTTATTCACTCAATAGCATAACCATCAATATATCATATAACAACTAACGACGCAGTCTTTTATGAAGATACTAATCATCAATGCTCACTGAAGAGTTTATCGCGCACAATTTGTTGTCTATCGATCGTTTACTCATCTGAAAATTCGGTTTCATTACCACATAACAGAACGAGTGAAATCAATGCTTTTTTTTTTCAGATGTTTTTAGTAAAATCAAGTAAATCAATGCTTTCAGTGAAATCAAGTAAACGAGTAAAATCAGTAAAATCAACACACAAAGTAAATAGATGTTTTTCAGCAAAATCACGAACACGTAGATTGAGCTTTTCCCCATGAGCACTACAGAGTAGCAGTAACAATGATTCTACAATCATGCAAACGCTTCCTCTAGTTACATCTATCTCAGTACTCGTCCGATGCACATTCATCAGCACGCTTGATCTTGCTCATGAGCATGATAGAACATGATCTGCATGTGTCGCTTCCACACTGATTCATTCATACATACATAATGGTAAACATTTGAATTAGAATTTCAAGAAAACCAGGAAGCAAACGTTGTGAAAATGAATTCACATGCAGTGGAAGTGTGGCCAAACTCTATTTTTTAGGTATTCTAAAGGAGAAAGTTCAGTTTCCGTAAGCGTAATGAGAATTAGAATTGAATCTGCTATGAAGCAGCGAATTCAATGGGATTATTGGCACAATTTTTTGTTGCTTACTTATGTGAAAAGAGAACGCTCATGTTTTTGAGAAGTGAATTTTTCAGTTTTCATTCGATTAGAAGTTGGACTAATGAAGTGACCTCATGTTTTTTTTAAACTGAAAGAGTAGATTATTATTGAGTTTATGTTCAATTAATTGTAAGTGTTTACTGAGCTGCGGAATTGGTTTAAAGCGATCGGCATAGATTCAGTCAAAGAGATAGCCAGCCACTTCGATGCAATAGTGATATAAACTATTGGATTTGGTGTATTTATGTGAATGAGTCAATGCACATCAAAAACAACACCTCTTCATCCTCATTAATGGTGTCTATATCGAACACTAATCGTTACCGATTGTTTTAAGTGTATATTTTAACGATCAAACACAACAAAAAAGAGCGCTCCGCCACACAGTGTTTATGTACACTGAAAAGAAGCCATAACTTTTCGCACTTGCCGACGTTCCCAATTTAGAGAGAGACATCGTTCAGTGCTTGTCAGTTTCACTGCAACAACTGATTGCAAAGATTTCGTGATTCTAGTAGTCATATGAAAGGACAGCAAACCATGCACAGTCTTAATTTCTGCATTAAGTCATTCAGATTAAGGCTTGTCAAACCAGTCGGTATTCACATTCTCTTTAACCTTTTTTTTTCATCCACTCTACTCTTGCGAATTGGTATTAGCCTCAATCGTCACTAACTCGTTATGATGAAATAAATGTTCAAGTATGCCAGTATATTCCTGTGGCTAACGCAGTCCAGTGAATGCTTGTTTTGGTTGCTAAATGCCCCCATAACAATACGAAAAATATCATTTGCAGTAACAATTATTCGAGTGAATAATCAATCATAATAACAACTATCTTCATAATGCACGTTCATTATGTGGTGTGTATACTTACGTATGCACATACGTCATTCAACCGCATCACAATTATAGTGGGAGGAGCATGGCATCGAGAAAATTGTATTACGGTAATTGCAATGCTCTTTTTGTGAATCAAGTCGCATTGACATAAAGCCACATTGACCGGTGTTTTGTGAGTGTATGAAGAATTGTTCGTAATGAATCCGAGAAATGAACTGTGTTGAAAAAATAAAATAATTTGCATATTTTCGATTCGAAGTTCAGTATAGAATTTGAATACGGATCAAGTGGACTACTGGAGTGGGTCTTCTGGTGGGCATCAGTGAAGAAGCATTTGTAAATTTTACGCTCAAAATAACATGATTATACAAAAATGAAAGCGTCTCATCGAATCTGA